ATCACCTAATTTTATATTTTTGTGAGTGTCAAGAAGAATGTTTTCTAGTTTAAGATCTCTACAAAATGCAACATAATAATTAAGATATGTTTGAATAATAATAAAATCAGGCTATTTTCTTATTTTCTGAGGGTTTACCTATGAACAACTCTTCTGTCATGACAGTATTTAACAGCTCGACATAATTGGCCAAACATTTTTCTGGCTAAATTTTCTTTTAGGCGTTTTTTACTAACCAAAAAATCATATAATTCACCCCCTTCACAATATTCCAGTACCATATAAATTTTATTTTCAGTGGGTATAACTTCGAATAGGGAAATGATATTAGGATGATGTAAATAACGATGATGATGTATTTCGCGAGTTAAATTTTCGGCGTGAATTTTAGGCATTATTTTTATGGCGACCTGAATGAAAGCAGAATTAATCATAAGTGAATTCGTAAGAAGCGTATGAAGAGAAAATGAAATGGTACTTTTTTGACCAGTCAGCTTGTGAGTCGCTAGCTTTACTTTTCCATATGTTCCTGGATAATTACCATTACTTTTTAATTTTAGGAGGAGATAATAATAAAATAAAACAGAAATTTGATATAATTTTTACCTTCACCAATCGTATCTTCTAGTATATAATTACCCACAGACTTTATATCTTGAGTTGATAATTCTTTTAATAAAGCTTGGTAATCAGCGACAAGCTAAAGTTCAAGACATGACCGAGGAAAATTGAATAAAATTAGTAATATGATCTGTGAAAAAGGAATAGAGGCATACGAAAAGTAGGTAGAGAGTAACATAAATACCTTTGCTTTCTCATTGTTTTTCGTTGGCATTCGCGTCCCATAAGGCATATGCATGTCGTCCAGCAACGGTGATTATGATAAATGGGAGTATGTTCGCATATAATTTATCAGGATATTGAAGGTAATATATAAGGAAAAAAAATATATTTATGTTTATACACAAGCGGACAAAGGGTTATATTGTTTTTTTTCTAGGCGCACAAAAAATAATTTTTCGAGAAGGTCCGCGGTGGTGGGTGAATGTTCAAAAGCACCTTGCAAAACAAAATCTAAATCAATGCAAGGTTTCTAAAAAGCGATGAAGCGAAAAGTTAATTATGTTGCATTTTGTAGAGATCTTAAACTAGAAAACATTCTTCTTGACACTCACAAAAATATAAAATTAGGTGAT